GTTGCTTGTTTATTCAGATTGTATTTGAGCCCTTACTGTGGTTGAATGCAGCTGTAAATCTCAAACACTGAAGCCACAGTCACACTAGCACTGCAACAGTCATAATAGTCACATTATGCAGCATATTTTTTAAAATATATTATACATCCACAATGTAAGAACATGCAATCTACTTTACTTCAACATTGCATATTTAATTTTTGCATTCTTTTATTTCAGCTAAGAGTATCAGTCTTCTACTGGTCACATGTCTTCACATGATAAGAATCCGCAGGGCAGAGCTCATAAACTTACATTTTGTAATGCTAATGCAACAAAATTCAGTTTGTGTTCCCCTGTCTCTCAAATGCGTATGAATGGAAGTCAATTAAATGAAAAGTGTAGTGTAAACACAAGTAGGGGCAACAAATGTATCATGGGTAAGTCATTGAATTATTCACTCAACCAATTTGTTCGCACTGATTTATTCAAGAAACAAACACAACTACTGTATGTTGCTTGTAGACATACAAGGGCTGATCATGCTTTGACTTTTGAACTGTATGTCTGAAATGTAAATTAATATTTAACATGAACTTATTCTTTATTCAATATTTTATAAAAGCGATAGCACACTCGTAATGATGCAAGTCCTCACTGATATTCAAAACATCCAACAGAATGCATTTTTGCATTCCGCCCCTAGTAAAAAAGTCATATATTTAAAATACATTTATTTCATACTAAGTATAGTTCAAATCTATTAACATATTTACTGACATCGCTCGAGATTCACTGATATAAAAATTATTATTCAGCATTATTTGGAGTACTACTTGTGCACAATGCATGTTTCTTATTATTAAGCCTAAAATGTTTTTAATGTCACTATTGATGAGGAACTATTGTTTTTAAATGCAAGATATTCAAAGTGTACCTGAACTATAATCGCAGTAGTTCCATTTTAGCACAATCGAATATACTTCAGTATATCTTTAGTTGGACTTCAGCACTACTTCCGCACAATTAAAGTACATTAAGTACAAAATTAGTTGTTCCAATTTAGTAGACTTTAAGTATACCAGTTTAGTACACCAAAAGTACAACTGCAGAGTATTTTTATTAGGCAAGGCAAGGCAAGGCAAGTTTATTAATATAGCACATTTCATTCACAATGGTAATTCAAAGTGCTTTACATAAAAGGAAGCAAAATAATCATAAAAAAAAAAATCACAACAATAAAACAAGGAATTTAAAAACTTTTAAAATGCATTCTGTGTGAATATTGAATATTGAATTGAATATCCGCTTACTCGTGTGATAGGTTCAATTGCTTATGCGTCTTTTATGTGGACATGACATCTATTTTAACAGCACCAACTCCTCAATATTCTTTTGCCATGCTCAGGGAATTCCTTAACTTGTTTAAAACCTCCTGCCAAACAATTCTTCTTGTCTTGTCAAAACACCCTCCTCTTTCTCGCCCTCTCCCGCTCACTGTCTGTTTGTCTCCCACTCTCACTCAGCACTCGATACTCCCATCTGTGGAATGCAGAGAGCTGCTCCTCTGTCTCAGGTAGCAAAGGTTACACCACTGGCCATTGCTATTTCCTCTAAACTTCACTTATCTAAGCATCATCCTATGTATTCCTTTCAGAAATAAGAAAACCATTAAGCCCGCATGCAGTATAAACCAGCACTCACCCACAGTTCATTTACAGCATGAATTCTGTTATCTAATCAAATACAATCTGAGAATAGAAGATAGAGTATTGCAGATATCAGTGAAATAAGCAGGCTTGGCTGTTTAACAGATAATAGGGAGTTTTCTCAGTATGTAGACTTTAAGTATACCAGTTTAGTACACCAAAAGTACAACTGCAGAGTATTTTTATTAGGCAAGGCAAGGCAAGGCAAGTTTATTAATATAGCACATTTCATTCACAATGGTAATTCAAAGTACTTTACATAAAAGGAAGCAAAATAATCATTAAAAAAAAAATCACAACAATAAAACAAGGAATTTAAAAACTTTTAAAATGCATTCTGTGTGAATATTGAATATTGAATTGAATATCCGCTTACTCGTGTGATAGGTTCAATTGCTTATGCGTCTTTTATGTGGACATGACATCTATTTTAACAGCACCAACTCCTCAATATTCTTTTGCCATGCTCAGGGAATTCCTTAACTTGTTTAAAACCTCCTGCCAAACAATTCTTCTTGTCTTGTCAAAACACCCTCCTCTTTCTCGCCCTCTCCCGCTCACTGTCTGTTTGTCTCCCACTCTCACTCAGCACTCGATACTCCCATCTGTGGAATGCAGAGAGCTGCTCCTCTGTCTCAGGTAGCAAAGGTTACACCACTGGCCATTGCTATTTCCTCTAAACTTCACTTATCTAAGCATCATCCTATGTATTCCTTTCAGAAATAAGAAAACCATTAAGCCCGCATGCAGTATAAACCAGCACTCACCCACAGTTCATTTACAGCATGAATTCTGTTATCTAATCAAATACAATCTGAGAATAGAAGATAGAGTATTGCAGATATCAGTGAAATAAGCAGGCTTGGCTGTTTAACAGATAATAGGGAGTTTTCTCAGTATGGAGTTAAATGCCCCGTAATAATATTTCTAAAGCGACTCAGGGGAACTGTCTTGGAAGACAAAGTGCCGACTTGAAAGCAAGTTTTGTGTGATGATGGATTATAGCAAAACAAATAATAACTTAAAACTCATTTGGCTTGGTTTCAACCTCGTTTGATCATAAAATGATGTTGTGTTGCTCTGTAACTAATCTACTTGAAAACCTGGTGCTCTAACAAGAAAAACTGCACTGCGCAAGATTAAAATAGCTGTAGTGCCATGATATGGGTATGCATATATATGCATATGTATAAGGTGGCAAGAATATGTTTGTGAACCCTTTGAAAATATCTGCATTTCTGAATTGATAACTCATAAAGCTGATCAGATTTTCAAGTTACAAAGTCACAATTTTATTGAAGACATTTAGTGATCATTGACAGGACAGGTGGGAAAATGTAAGTGAAACTCGACTTACAACTTCTCAAAAAGCTAATTGGAGTCAATTAAGAAGATGAGATTGAAAGTGTGGTTTGGACAGATGCCCTGCACTTTAAATATAAGCACACAAAGCCTGGTTACTGATACATTTATTCTCAGGAAAGTTTAAATAGTGTGATCCATGCCTCGCTCCCAAAAGCTTAAAAACACATAGCTGGAAAAGGCTAGAAAAGCATTGTCAAAGACCTGGGTGTTCATGGATCAACACACCAGGAAATCCTAAAAGAGGTGAGAAGAAACCTATTACAGCAAAAGACCTCTAGAAAACTTTGTTCATGTGGACAACAGGACAGGATTAAGGAAGCTACTGCTGTCTAAAAAAATTATTGAGACATGTCTCAGTGTTACCTGGTTGTTCCATTTCTGGGAAAATGTTCTGTGGACAGTCGAGAACATTTTGTTTAGAGGAAAAAGGGTACTGCATACCAACTCCAAACCTCAGCTCAACTGTCAAACATGGTGGATGGAGCATCATGGTTCAACACTGCTTTGCTGCCTCAGGGTCTAGACACAATCACTGAAGGAAAATGAATTATAAAGTGTATCAAGATTTTTTCCCCCTTTATTTTCATGGAGAATGTCAGAAAAGTCTTCAAGGTTTAGAGAAGTTGAGTGATGAGATAAGACAAAGACTCGAATCACACAATGCCATAAATAATGACTGAAAAGAAGAAAGTTCTGCCAATTCAGATGTCTTATAAGCAGCTACAGAAAATGTGTTTTTTTTAAATAATAATAATAGTAGTAGTAGTATATACAACTTATGTAGGATTAACCATTTTTCACAATGATTCTAAATTTTGTGCAAAACATTCCAATTATTTTGTGTTCCACAAAAAGAATGAGAGTCAATGAAGACAGAATATTCATCATTGGGTCAACTGGCTATTACATGTGTTCGATTACATTATCAAATTCTGAATAAAAATAAGTTATTATTATCTTCATGACAGTTTAAAATGATCATAAATGTCAATTGTATGCTATTAAAATAATATAAATATATAAAAATAATGCTATAAAATAACAGAAATGTAATGGAACTGTGATTCATATATGGTCGTAGACAGGCCTATTAACATTTCCACTGTGTTTGTGAAATACTTGCTTATCAAGGTTAATTGAAAAAGTGTTGTCTCCAGTCCCTGTGTTTAAAACTGTGATCCTTTGCCTACAGCACTACAGCTTTAGAAGCAAAAAAAAAGTAAAACTTTGTCCCAAACTGAGTTCCATTTTGCATTTTCTCCAGGAGGCGGCACAGCAGTCGTTTATAGGCTAATGGAAAAATCGCCCCGGGCTGAAAGTTCCGTTACTTTCTTTTTCTCTTCTTTTCTCTTCTCCAGCGGGAAGCGTCTCTTCTCTCCTCCTTCTCACATCACATCCGGCTCAGTTTCCCGAGCACTTTGGACTCGCTTACAGTGCAGCGTTAGGAAGTCCGAATCATGTAAGCGAATCGATTCGTGGGGACGGTTCGACTCATTTGATTCATTTGATTTGTTGTCTATAAGTTCGCAAACATCCAGTTGTGGCATTTTTAAGTGTAGAAAGTATCAGTGAACAGTCTTAAAAATATTTACCGAATTTTAGTAATCATTTAAATGTGTCTTCGCTCAGCATTTTGTTTAGCCTATTTTTGTAGTGAAAAACCGTGTTTAATGAAATTCTTCTTTAATGATTCTTTAATTAAAGGTTTACCACATTTGTTTACTTTACTTTACTGGTGTCAGATTTTTGCGGTATTTACGCTTCCATAATGTCGTAATTTTACGCCCATAGTTCACCTTACAGCCGAGTGATTCACAAACGCTTGCGAATTGGTTCAGAAGAATCATAAAAAAAGAACCGGTTCAAAAGAACAGCTCCTGCGCGAATCGGACATCACCGTAACGGTGAGTGTAGCAGTTTTAAGAGGCTGCCGTGGATCTGCTGCTGATATGGAGACTCTTACCATCCACAGACACTGATCGTGCAACTTTACTGAGCCGACTGAACGGGTTAGGCGCTTTCATGGCTACTCTCCTGTCACATTAACAACTCCAAACATGTCCAAAAGCCTGAAGAAGAAAAGTCACTGGACTAACAGAGTCCACGAGGTCGTGTTATCCAGGGGTCCGAGTGGTGATCTTGGGTTCGAGCTGCAGGGAGGCGCGGAGAATGGACAGTTCCCCGTTATTGGAGACGTGAAACCGGACAGGGGCAAATTGCACCAGGACGAGCTACTTCTGGAGGTCAATGATACTCCAGTGGCCGGACTGACCATCAGGGATGTGTGGGCTGTGGTCAGACACTGCAAAGACCCTGTCCGCCTTAAGTGTGTCAAACAAGGTTAGTTTTACATTCATTTAAATGTAAGTACATTTAAAGTGCCAACATTTGACCTGTTTTCAACAAAATGGCATAACGTTACTTACTACAGTTGTCATTGCTACTGTAAAAAGCATTTACATGAAAGTTAATGAAGCTTCCAGAAATATTTTGACTTTATTTATTTATTTAAATGTTGTTAAATGTATACAACTAGGAAGCAAACAAGCGCTAGTTTAAGGTTTTCTCTTTTTTTCAACACGTTATCACACTTTTATTGTAATAATAACGTATACAGTATGCGATTATGGCAGAAATTATGGATACTATGGTGAATATCTGTAAGGTTACACCTGTTTGTGTACGTATTTGCACGTGAGCGTGAACTTTTGCATATGTTATGTATCACATTGCATCCAAATGTAACATAAGAAGCAAGAAGTGGTGTTGTTAGAGTTTCACAACTGCTCAGACTCGCGTGTGAAAGTTGTTGGTTTGTTGCTATAGAAGCGGAGTTGGTGTGTTTCTGGAAAGGGGGCGTGTCCAACGCTACAGTAGCGCGTCCTGGTGGTGATGTTACGTCATCGTCACGTTTATAACGTCACTGCGCTGCATGCCATATACTATTTAGTGTTTGTAAACTTCTTGCTACATTTAGCCAAATTGAGCTTCTTTGTTGACACTGAAGGGTTATCTTTCCGTTATCCTTCAGTTTAGTTTATGTTATCAGACTGTGATCCGGTCTTTGTGGGTGTGCCACGGTTCTGAAATACATCATGACATTACTATTTTCCCAATAGGCCTGTATCTGAACCTCACAATCACACTGTCATGAATGATGCCAGTAGAGTGGCTTGTCCTTTCTGTTTAGTTACAGACCCATAATTGTAAACAGTTTAGCTTCTTTAAGATTACTGGTTTAGGATGTGAGCGTGGCATTCTTTTCCTTTGACATGTTGTTTTTTATAAGACCTACCATCAGTAAATGTCTTCTAGAGAAGGGGGTTTAGAACTATTTGATCCCAAGAAACCCTCAAATATGATGATCACATGAAAGGGACCCCTTGCTGACAGAATTTTCTCTTCTTACTGTTAAAAAAAAGCAAAGCACTAGTTTTTAAAATACTATAAAATAAAATAATCAAGTCTAATCTCATGCTTTCCAACTAGTATTCTAGAAATTAGAATGAAACACTAGCAATGTTTTTTTTCTTTCCTTGAAATTTTCTGTGGACTATGAAAGGCTTTATATTTGTGATTTAGCATCTCATTATATTTAGAATTTTTCTTATAATAATGATCAGCTAATGTCCCATAATAATGAGCTTCTCATTATATTCAGAACATTTCTCATAATACTTAACATCTCATAATAAAAATAAATTTTCTCATAATAATGAAGTTAATGTTTGATAATAATAATAAGCTTTCCTATTATATAGAAAGTAGAATGAACATTAATAATGTAGAATTTGGTAAATGTGACTTTTTTCATTAACTCCCCCACCCCCTTATTATTATTAACTTATCATGAGAAAGTCTCCCATTATGAGATTTCAAGTCATTGTTACTAATTCATAATTATTATTATTATTTTTATTTTCATATTATTTCAAATTTTATGACCACTAATAATAATAATAATAATAATAATGAGGTTTCTCATTATTTTCTCAATGCAATGAGATTATCATATGCTAAATTATTTTTTATGAAAAAAATGATAAGTGCTAAGTGATAATTATAAGAAAGCTTCTCATTATTATGAATCATATTTTTCACTCAACTGAGGCGGAAACAACCCAACTCTAATGCATGATTATTATTATTATTATTATTATATGCTTGTATTTTATTAGATGCATTTAGCTCCTTTCCCCCTATTGTCCATGACCCAATCAAAACAGACCCATTAGTGACAAGCCACTGCTCTCGAAATCTTCAAAATAGTTTGTTGTAAATTTTGGCCTGTGAGAATTATCACTGAACATTGAGATTGAAGTCAGAGGCACAGATTTTAACCCCTAGAGTGGCTTGTCCTTTCTGTTTAGTTACAGACCCATAATTGTAAACAGTTTAGCTTCTTTAAGATTACTGGTTTAGGATGTGAGCGTGGCATTCTTTTCCTTTGACATGTTGTTTTTTATAAGACCTACCATCAGTAAATGTCTTCTAGAGAAGGGGGTTTAGAACTATTTGATCCCAAGAAACCCTCAAATATGATGATCACATGAAAGGGACCCCTTGCTGACAGAATTTTCTCTTCTTACTGTTAAAAAAAAGCAAAGCACTAGTTTTTAAAATACTATAAAATAAAATAATCAAGTCTAATCTCATGCTTTCCAACTAGTATTCTAGAAATTAGAATGAAACACTAGCAATGTTTTTTTTCTTTCCTTGAAATTTTCTGTGGACTATGAAAGGCTTTATATTTGTGATTTAGCATCTCATTATATTTAGAATTTTTCTTATAATAATGATCAGCTAATGTCCCATAATAATGAGCTTCTCATTATATTCAGAACATTTCTCATAATACTTAACATCTCATAATAAAAATAAATTTTCTCATAATAATGAAGTTAATGTTTGATAATAATAATAAGCTTTCCTATTATATAGAAAGTAGAATGAACATTAATAATGTAGAATTTGGTAAATGTGACTTTTTTCATTAACTCCCCCACCCCCTTATTATTATTAACTTATCATGAGAAAGTCTCCCATTATGAGATTTCAAGTCATTGTTACTAATTCATAATTATTATTTTTATTTTTATTTTCATATTATTTCAAATTTTATGACCACTAATAATAATAATAATAATAATGAGGTTTCTCATTATTTTCTCAATGCAATGAGATTATCATATGCTAAATTATTTTTTATGAAAAAAATGATAAGTGCTAAGTGATAATTATAAGAAAGCTTCTCATTATTATGAATCATATTTTTCACTCAACTGAGGCGGAAACAACCCAACTCTAATGCATGATTATTATTATTATTATTATTATATGCTTGTATTTTATTAGATGCATTTAGCTCCTTTCCCCCTATTGTCCATGACCCAATCAAAACAGACCCATTAGTGACAAGCCACTGCTCTCGAAATCTTCAAAATAGTTTGTTGTAAATTTTGGCCTGTGAGAATTATCACTGAACATTGAGATTGAAGTCAGAGGCACAGATTTTAACCCCTCCCCCGCTCATTTCATTTCATTGGCCGATCTGTATAATGATATCTGAAGAGCACAACTGGAATATATTTATATGTGTGTGTGCTGTAGATAGTATCAGTGTTTCCATATACTGGTAGTTAAAAAAGTTAGAATTTTTGTCGAAGCGTTTCATGTAATATTTTTCTTTTTCGAGTGCTGTAGCAGGGGCCTACTTGATATTCATTGGACACAGTAGTAGGGCAGACACAAAACTGTGGTCGGTGTGGTCAGATGCCTAGGTAAGTACCCTAAGATGAGATGTCTGTAGCATTCATCTGTGAAATAACAGGTTGTGAAACACACACACACACACATTTACACAGCCTCCCGGGATGACCTGGCCAACTTTTTGATGTCTGGGTTTTGAGTTATCAGCGAGACCGGTTGGCGAAATCAGTTTTTATATTACTTTGAAATGCTGCAAGCCGACCTTTAAATGTAGTTTTGTAACAATATCATAATTATGGCACAGCACATTATTGTATTTATGTTTCATTCATCCCCTTGAGGTAGGATGATATGAGGTTGACATAAATGATCATCTCTCAGCCACCAGTTCTAATTGTAAATTTAATTTGAGTTTGGAAGATGTAATTATAAACATGCCAGCTGAATTGATGTGTTAATGCGGAATGCTTCTGGTCATTTTCTCTCCTGTATTCTTCAACCCTGGACTCTGGGTTTCATGTTCTTCTCTCCACCCACTGCCTGACCTGCCACTTTCATAAACTGTTTAGGGCCAGCGGTAGGCCACATGCTTGTTTAAACCACACCAAGGGGTCGGTATAACCAGGATGTGAGGTCACAGATAGCAAGTGCACATTTTCTGGTACTCAGCTCATAGGGACTGGCAACCTTAACCAGAAAGCTTTATTTTAGATAGAAAAAAAGCCTTGTGATGGAGCCAGAACCACAGCAACCAGAAAGCATGACATCATACAAATGCGGTTGTGGCATCTGTAAACCTAGGAACTTCAGTTTGGCATGAGTTTAGCTTCATTTCACCAGATTGAGTGAAAAGTGGCTCATCCTGTGGCCTTTGTGCTACCTACAGCAATAGCTTAAATTGTGTGGTTTTGAGAAGGTGTGCAATTACTTTAAGTGACTGAACTCAAAAAGAGTAGTGGGAATTTTTTTTTATGATTTGACTTTGAACCGGTTCACCAAAATGTAAACATCGGTTCAGAAAGATAGGTTTGGATACATTTGTCTTTTCTGAAGGTTACACTTACTGTACAGTCCTAAATCAAGTGTCTTTCAATCCAGCTAAATACACAACCACATTGGTATCGTATTAGATATCACCACATTAGTGTACGTGTGACACAGTAAGCAGCCTGCTCGATGCCTTTACCATCAGGTCAAACCCTACAAAGTTAACCAGGCAGACATTAATCATGACCCTTAATTTGGTACCTTATCTGGTGCCCCAGGTCAAATCATGAAAGTTATTAATGGCTTGTGCAGAAGCTTGGACTCAGAAAGCATAACCTTACAAAAACATAATGGAACCTTGGTTTAATAGTGTGGCACAAGAAACAACCTGGGAACAGGCACATAATATCAGTCTGAAAAAAAGTCAAAACAAGACAAATGATCTTTGTGCATCCCAAAGTTTATTGAAACCACTAGATTTACATGACCAGAGTAACTTCTCCACTAGAAACCACAGTCTGCTCACTAGAGATGGTCTTGACAGGAGTGTCTCTGCCTGTAAGAAAAAATGTTAGAAGTGTGAAGGCCACTTAATTCTCAGTTTCTCTAGTCAAGTTAGAGCAAGAACTCACGTTTCCTGGTGCAGCTTTGCTCACAAGATATCACCACATTAGTGTACGTGTGACACAGTAAGCAGCCTGCTCGATGCCTTTACCATCAGGTCAAACCCTACAAAGTTAACCAGGCAGACATTAATCATGACCCTTAATTTGGTACCTTATCTGGTGCCCCAGGTCAAATCATGAAAGTTATTAATGGCTTGTGCAGAAGCTTGGACTCAGAAAGCATAACCTTACAAAAACATAATGGAACCTTGGTTTAATAGTGTGGCACAAGAAACAACCTGGGAACAGGCACATAATATCAGTCTGAAAAAAAGTCAAAACAAGAAATGATCTTTGTGCATCCCAAAGTTTATTGAAACCACTAGATTTACATGACTAGAGTAACTTCTCCACTAGAAACCACAGTCTGCTCACTAGAGATGGTCTTGACAGGAGTGTCTCTGCCTGTAAGAAAAAATGTTAGAAGTGTGAAGGCCACTTAATTCTCAGTTTCTCTAGTCAAGTTAGAGCAAGAACTCACGTTTCCTGGTGCAGCTTTGCTCACAGGAGCCAGAAGATGGATGGCACACCTTTGTACTACAGTGGATGAAAATCTGACAGGGGAAAAAAATAAAATAAATAAAAAAATAGTCATAGAATCCTTGAGTAAAGTTAAAGGTTTAAGTAGTGTGCGTGTGGGGGGCATACGGTTTCCTGCAGAGGAGCCAGTGATGCCGGATCTACAAACGTGAACATCTTCACAATAAAGCGCTTGTAGTGGGTTGGGAACTGAAGACCAGATGATCCAAACACTGGCACCAACGTGGTCAGGTAACGATCATCCTGGTAAGGGCATCTGAAAGGGAATGAAACCCTCAGAACAGGACTCATGGACTAACTGGATAGAGATTGCCATTACACTCACCCATCAACCAGAAGGTCCCACTGGGGCAGACTGAGTGGACTGGGGGTTGAAGTGGTCCAGCAGCGTCCCAGCATCAGGACAAGGTTGGGGTCCGTCCTCTCCAAAATGCGCACCTCAACATACACTGGCTCTCGCAGGACTTTTGTGACCGGATAATCAGCGTCACTGTAGTAGGACGTGTAGGCCTCATCCCCTGAGGAACACTGGTGTTTAACCAGAAACTGCTGCAACCTGGAGTCTTAAGACCGAGAACACATGGGACAAGCACTTACCTTCTGCACACCCTTTGGTGACACATTGACCATTGGCCAGTCTAAGCTCCACCCTGAGGGGTCCGGGGGCAGCTACTGGTGGAGGTGGAGGAACAGTGTTGACCTCCACAACCAGAGCTTCGACAGAAGTACCAGAGTACTTACACTGGAAGAGAAGCCTGACAACAAACAATGAGCTTAGATCATTTGTCAGAGTTTAACGTTTACACCAAGTCATAGATCACTCACTCAAAATGGCTGTCCCTTGTGATGGACCCAAGTGGTCCAATCCCCACTTCATACAAAGAGGTCATTCGGTTCTCATACACCACATAACCATTGTCCTCCTGCAAACAAAAACACTGTTGGCATCCAGTAGATGGTAAGCCATGCAGAATAAAATGAAAGCAGCTACTCACCATCATGCTCGTGCCACAGGCAGTCACAGGGAACTGGTATATAACAAAGGAAGGTGTGAACCCCACAGGACCACAAGGTGGGTCATTTCCACCCAGTAGACGGACCGAATCCAGACTCAGTCGAGGCAGTGTAACATCTCTAGCCACCACTACCACAAACTGACCATCTCTTATACACTGGACAGTCACTGGAACAAAGGCACAAGAGCAGGTTAATGTTGAGGATCAGTTTAACGCCGCTCTTAAAGATTCTTCACAGCGATGCCATAGAACCATTTTGTTCCACAAAAAACCATTCAGTCAAAGGGTCTTAAAAAAAAAAAAGCCATCATGAAGTTCCTTTATTTCTAAGAGTGAAATAGGATAACACTAACTCACACTTACCTGCCTTCCCATAGTAACACTGCTGTCCATTAAAGCAGCAGTTGATAGCTTGACATTCAGCAGCACTGATACCTGGTTGTCCACATTGGATCTGCTCGTAATCGGCTACAGCACATTTATCGAGGAGCTCTGCCTGCACCACTGGCTTCTGAAACTGAAACCTCTGAGGAAACTGCTGATTAGTCTGTTGAACTGGCTGTTTAAATCGCTGGTTAGTTTGCTGGACCATCAGAGTTTGAGGGTTCTGGGGCAAATTACTCCACTGTGGAAGAGCATGACAGAACGCACACAGTGCCAGTACTTGAAACAAACACCACCTTACAGCCATAATTCAACCGTTAGTCTTACTATTAAGACATCACCCAATTGGTCTTTATGTACTCTACTGATTTCAGCTAATTAACGATAGTCCCTCCCTCTTCATTAACATTAATGGTTCTCCAGATTTGCACAAATGGGAGCACAACTGGGTGATTCTCGTTGATTTAATTGTCCTTGTTTCATACATAAAACCACAAACTTGAGCTTAATTGAAAATAGCATACTAGTATTATTTCTGCCATATTGAATTCAGCCTTGGTTTTATCCTTCATTAGCTGAATTTAATTGTTGATGTTTTGACAATTCTGGATTGTTTTATTCTTTGAAACACATCTTGGAATGTACATGCCTGTATTTTCAGACTGGCTCAAAAGAAAGTTGGTTTAACACACTCATGATTACATTGAAGCTTTGAGTGATACTTGAATCCTGTCCCAGCCATAGCTGTTCTATTATTAAATGTTGCATTAAAATAATTAAATTACTGTCATTCATATTATAATATAAGTGCTTTTAATATACTGCACACACTGCAATATCAGTATCCTTCGGTATAGCCCAAAATTTTATTTACCAGGGTGCAGGTTAGCCCTTCACTCATGAGAAAATAATATACCTTATAAATGTATTGAACTATTTATTGTAATATGTTTCTTGTCAGAGGAGGATTGGCTCCACCAAGGTTTTTTTTTTGTTTTTTGTCTCTAATTACCTAAACAAGCTAAGGAATTATTTTACTTGCCACCATCACCTTTGTCTGAAGTGAGAAAGAAATGCTTATAAAAATAAAATTAAAAAGTCATAATTATTGCATAAAATGTCAAAACTATGAGATACTTAATCGTAATTAGGATTTTTATGTCAGAATTATAATTTACCAAAGCATGATTTTCAAAATTATGAAATACTAAGTCATAATGAGATAAAAATGTGAAATGATGAGATGAAAAGTCATAATTATTTTTGTCATAAATTTTTATGTCATAATTATGATTTACATCATTTTCAAAATTAAGATACCAATCATGAGATAAAAAGTCGAAACTGAGATAAAAAGTCATAATTATGACATAAGTCAAAATGTTTTCATAATTTTGACGTGTCATAATTATAATTTAACAAAGCATTCTTTTTTAAAATTGAGATACCAATCATAATTAGATAAAAAGTCCAAATTGAGATGAAAAGTCATAATTATCATAATTATGACTTTTTTAATATCATAATTATGATTTACGTACGTCATTTACAAAATTGAGATACCAATCATAATGAGATAAAAAGTTGAAATTGAGATAAATTGTCATAATTATGACATTGCATGTCATAATTGTCTTTTTATGTCATAATTATGTCTTTTTATGCCATAATTTTGAGAATGAGAACAGCTTGTTTAAGAGAAAAATGTGCAAACACTGATTCATTCACAAACTATCCTACTTGAAAACCATTACTTGAGGACCATTAGAATTGATTTTAGACTGGTAAATAATAAAAAGGGGCTAAAAAATCCTATAGATTGAAGCAGTGACCTAAGTTCTATCTTTTGATTTGAAGAGGTTAGCAACCACCTAGAAATTACCCAGAGCTTCCTATAAAACACCTAACAACATTTAGAACACCTTTTTAACCGCATAGCAACACCCTACCATTGTGTCGGTGAGTATGTGCAAACGCATCTAGTTTATGTTTATTTGCAGTGGATTCACTGCAGTGTTTGTTTATGAAAACGCAGGACCAACTGCAGTGTATGATATATCTGTGGGAATTGAGCAGACTCTAGCCTCAGGAGAGGCAGGAATGGGTTCCAACCCGTCTAGACGAGTGAAAATGTATTGATGTATCTCATTTATAGTCTCAAGCTCTACAGCAGCTTGCCCATGAATGCTTGTCTTGTCATATTATGTGTATGCGGGTTGTGTCTCCCAAGTGAACGCATGGCATACTGGCGCTCATGATGTGCATGCAGTCACCCAGAAATCCTGCAGCGGTCAGGAAATACTGGACCTCTGGTGATCTGAAACTGTCTTTCGCCCTCAGCACTTTAGTCACTGTCAGTCTGCATGGTGCAACGCCCATGAGAGGGGTCAGAGTTTGTGATAATGGAGAGTCATTACTCTTTAACACTTCCTCTCCATCTTTTAGTCTTTCACTTTTTGTTCAAGTGGGAGGTTCACTCAAGGGAGCCAGCTGTGGTTTTTTAACTGTGGCATGCAGTGAGCCCTATTTTTTCACTTTTTCTCTTACGCACTCTTGATCTGTTCCATTTCTAATACCTATGATCGTTTATATATGACATTTCAGAGCAGAACACACTTGAGGAGCGCTGTTATTCGTTTGCCTGAAGGATGGCTATTGCATTGCCCTTTTAATGAAGAATAAATGTTGCCGGTGCCATTGAGCAGTATGATATATTTATAATTTTCTCACTTCATTTTTTATATGTAACTATTGAAAGCTTATTAAAAGTCACCGGAAATTTGAATTAGTTCTTATTAGTCTTATAACCAACAAAAATTTTTAGTTTTTTTTAAATAAAAAAATAAATAAAAAAAATTTGTTATAGCAATTTTTATTAATAAGCATGTCATGTTTTTTCCACTTCATAGGGATTTCTGAAACATTTTTCTATTTTGTAGGTCAAGTACAAATTCTTAATAATATAATCATTAATAATACCAATTATCTAGTGTGTTGTAAACAAGTTTTACTCTGTATCTAGCCAATAAAATATTTTAGTGAAGAAAATAAATAATATA